TGTGTGTGTGTGTGTGTGTGTGTGTGTGTGTGTGTGTATATATATACATACATACATACATACATACATACATACATACAAATACACTGCTCAAAAAAATAAAGGGAACACTTAAACAACGCACGCTAACTCCCGATTTTAATCAATGAAATATTCGCATTGAGTACTTTGTTCTGTACAGAGTTGAATGTGCTTCACAAAAGTTTGATTTACTTGGACTTAGCGTGCGTTGTTTAAGTGTTCCCTTTATTTTTTTGAGTAGTGTATAAGAAAATATCTAATTTCTCAGAATAGGTCAAATATGCAACATAATGAAGATTCTCACTCCAAAACAAAACAAAAAAAAAATCATGACTAAGGGCTAAAACATGTCAAAGTCAAGGAGCCTTGTTAACATTTTATCTGAATGCAAAGATAATGCTTTATATGTGAAATAGTTTTATGGTTTCTCATCTCAGCACTGTATTTATTGCATTCTTCTCATGACAGCTGGTTTTCAAATCAAGCCTTTTTTTTTTTTTTTACTGTTAGCTAATGTTTGTTCTAAATCAGAGGAGCCCAAAGTGGGGCCTGCAGGCCAAATTTGGCCCGCCAAGCCATTTGATTTGGCCCACCAGCATTTGACATTGTTACTAGGTACCTGTCATCCTATGTAGAAAAAGTATTTCCACTTTGTCATTCCATCCATTGGCTCAATAACTATAAGGGGCTGTGGTACAGATAGTCTTCACTCATGGTTCTTACTTTACCTTTGATACATTAAGATTACGGTAAATATGAAATGTGAAATACAAGCAAAAGGTGACATTTAAATTAGATTTAACCCTACATGTAAGATTTGCACACTTTATAAGGCCAGCAAAACTCATATTTTATCAATTTATGAAATTTCCCATGAACCTTTGCTACTTGAGGATATGGCAGATTTTCTCCAAGTACCCAGACTAAAACAAAAGCAGGCCACCAAACTGGCTGCTAGCTTAATCGTTACAAAATAAAGGACTTTACTAAAATAGTATTTGTATTTCATGTATTATATCACTGCATTTGGCCCGCTGCCCCAGATAGATTCTCATTTTGGCCCTCTTGGGGAAAATGTTTGGGCGCCCCTGTTCTAAATGCTACATAAACACAATTTGGAAAAGGGCCATTTGTGACTCCAAAAGAATAATTTCTTACATAACATTTTTTCAGTAAGTACTGACAGAAATTAGCCCCTGGCTTGGACCAAATTTTAAATCCCCCCCCCCCTGTGTAATAAAGTTTGTGCCCCCTGGGCTGCAAGAAGCTGGCTGCACCTTTAACTTCCTGTTTGACATTTGTCTGCAGAAAAAGTTACTAATAACAACTAGGGATGGGCATAATCGTATCGTGTGCAATTAATCATCAGAAAAACATTAATCGATTACTTTTTGGCATTTGATGATTAATACGATTAATGCCACCAGCTGTTGCTCCTCTCCACTTCAAATATGACGAACATTAAAAATAAAGTTCTGTAATTTATTTATCTATCAACACAATTTAAAATATGTTGTATAGCCTGAAATCTGTAATTTTCACACAATTGGATTTTTTTTTACAAATAGCAAATCTTTCCCACTAAATTGGTCATGTGACCAGGAAATAAGGGTGTCCAGGGACTCCAGGGGATTAATCGTCAAATTAATCGTTATCGGCTAAATACCACAATTAATCATGATTAATTTTTTTTGCCAATATCGCCCAACCCTAATAACAACTCAGTTAAATCAGTCTGTAAAATATATACATCTAAATTACACTGGTCATTTTATGTTATGTATAAAAAAGGTACAAATCATGCTGTGGATAAAATGTAAACAAACAATAAAAATTGAAGAAAATCTGAATATTAAAACTTCATTTAAGAGAGAAAATATGTTTATGAATTTATTCAATTTTCCTGAAATAGATGAATTGATGATTTATATGATGTTAATGAAAACNTCTATCAACACAATTTAAAATATGTTGTATAGCCTGAAATCTGTAATTTTCACACAATTGGATTTTTTTTTACAAATAGCAAATCTTTCCCACTAAATTGGTCATGTGACCAGGAAATAAGGGTGTCCAGGGACTCCAGGGGATTAATCGTCAAATTAATCGTTATCGGCTAAATACCACAATTAATCATGATTAATTTTTTTTGCCAATATCGCCCAACCCTAATAACAACTCAGTTAAATCAGTCTGTAAAATATATACATCTAAATTACACTGGTCATTTTATGTTATGTATAAAAAAGGTACAAATCATGCTGTGGATAAAATGTAAACAAACAATAAAAATTGAAGAAAATCTGAATATTAAAACTTCATTTAAGAGAGAAAATATGTTTATGAATTTATTCAATTTTCCTGAAATAGATGAATTGATGATTTATATGATGTTAATGAAAACCAAATGTATTAGTCAAAAGTAATGTTTTTGCAGGAGATGGTGAATAATTCAAATTCAACACTAATGCAAAGTGTATTAAACGCATGCACAGATGAGATTTCACATGTAAAGTCAGAAAAATATATACGTTTTTACTGCTAAAAGTCTAAAAGCTGTCAGTAAAACCAAAGTGTTGTTTTGTCCTGGAGTCATTTCCTACTTTAATGAGGCCAAAGGGCCGCAGCAACAAACTGACAACAAACACATATTTTAATGTTTTTTCTTTGTTTATCTATTAGAGCCGCAGAGTCGTCTGTGATGTTTTGTAAGCAGATTACTGCGTCAAACCTCCCAGTTTCAGAGTCTGGAGGAGCGGATTAAAAACTTTTCCCCCCCTCCTAACCGCGGAGAAGTTGTTCTTTTCGGACACTCACCCCTCTCTCCTGCCGCTTTGCTGCCCTCTTCATCCCGGCTGACTTGGGTGATCACCGAGGACGGGTTGTCCATCACCTCCAGGTCCGCTCCAGACGACAGAGAGGGGGGGAGGAAAGAAAAAAAAGTGCCGAACTCACGCTTTTAAAGCTGCGGGTAGTTCGCCGACTTCTCTTTCGTCTTGTTGGCGCCGCATGAACTTTTCAACAACATGCGTTAAAACCGCACCGGAAAGCGCCGCGACGAGTCGCCCTTTCACAGCGCGTCCATCGTCGCTGCGACGCCGCCCGAAGTGCCCGTGTCCGCTCGGAAAGCCGCTTGGAGGCCGAAAGTTCTCAAACATTTGTTCAAAGAGTTGGCAACTCTGATTTCAATATGGTGCTCGGCTCCGCTCCGCAATTTCAAGATACAAACATGGAGGTTTCAAGGCTTCCCCCCTCCTCCTTCTCCTCCCCGCTTAAAGTGGCGCAGAGCGGGGCGACGGCCGCGAGCCACGCTCCGCCTCGGCGGGGCGACACATTCGACGACGGTCCCTTGAGCTCGCTGGAGCAAAGTTGCTCAAAAAGTTACGCCGAACTCGTTTTGGCTCGAAATACTCCCTTCATAACGTTTCAATAAACTTTCTTCTTCACACACCGCTGTCAACTGGGTAAAATGTGCGTTCATCACGCGAATATGTGTTTTTACGGTGACTACGTAAGTTACGTAAACTATCGCTAGAAACACAAAGTCAAGGACTGCAGCGTGCGGTTTGCGCTTTACGACATAAACGCTCGAAAAGAAGAAGTCCAGAAGCGACTTAATAAAAAAAAGTTTGTGTATGTGAGTGTAAGTCACTTCTGTCGTCGTGCAGTGGTAGTTGCTGGTCAAAACAAACGCAAGAGCAAAACTTTCTTTATTTATATATTTATTTAAAGTTGCAGCACAGAAACGCCCAGTTTGGGCCCCTTGAAACTGCCACAGCTTAGGGAGCGTCGTTCAATAGCAGAGCCCGTCTCCTTCACACTGAAGGCTTTACAGCTTATATAAATAGCCTCTAATGTTCAAACTTTATTTAAAATAAAATTTCAGGAATAAAAGTATAGATATTAGATATTATAATATGT